GCATTACAAAGAACACATCTAATTTCCCTTCCCCCTATGTGTTCTGACCTAGGCTTCCTGAGACAGTAAAAATCACATGGTTAGTCCCCAAAACCTCTTTTTATTACAACGGTTGTGAATTATGTTCATTCACAGCTCATAATGAGTCACAAATAGTTTGTAAAAAGTCTGACAGACATCTGCCACAGTCTTTCGGTATAAGGCTGATAAGCACACACCTTTATCTCCCTTGAAATGCTGCCAAAGACCTAACTGCCAATTAGCTTTGCATGGCTACATGGAGCATAGAGTCAAAACAGAGCTCCAGAGTTTAAACCGACCAGATCGAATGAAGTTGCTTCCTGCAAAGGCTCACGTGCCTTTCCTCTTCCTTTGTCTTATGGGAGGGGCCAATCATCTCCAAGCCTTACTCCCAAGTTGTCCCTTTTGTATTAACCCTTCTTGCCCTCTGGCACCTTTGTGCATGTGCACACTGGGAACAGGGGGAGCCTGTTCCTCTGCCTCACTGATGTCCAACTCTGGAGGCTCCAGAGGTAGCACATAACTCCCAGACAGTCCTGGCCCTCTCTCTGTCTCTGACACAGAGCCCTCATCCGAGCCTTCCCCAGACTCCAAGGCTGGCTCATGTTCCCCCCCAACCTCCTCACTGTCCGACTGCTGCCAGCTCCTCAGGCCGCCAGGGGACCACAACACTATGAACTCTTTTTCTGAATTAGCTGGAACTAGGATTTCCTATCAGTATTTATACTTTTAAGCTCTTTTACATATTTAAAAGTATTTGTATCATATACAGTTTGACTCAGATTATATTTTCACAATTGGTTTTCCTTGAGGAGATAAATATTAGAACCTTCTACCAGTTTATTAATAGTTGGAGTTAACGTAGGAGACCCTGTTCTTCTTCTAAGCAAGAAAAGGGTCTCCTACATTATCACCAACTATATAATAATGTAGGTAAAAGAGTTTTCTTTGAGTTTCATAAATTTTTGCTTTGTTAGTCACAATTGGAGAAAAAAATCTGAACGGACTAAAGTGAAAGTGAAAACACATTCAAATATCTTTCTCCTATATCCTCCTATCAAGGTATATATTGTAAATGGATAAATATTTCAACAATGTTGTTCTAATCTAGTTCCCTGATTTTAAAGGTGGGCAAAAACTTTTGCATTACAAATATTTCAAAGCCAAATTTAGACACTTCTGACCTTACTGTGACCGTTCTTATATTGGAATATTTTTGGCAAAAAAAGACACAGCATCTGAGTATCAAATCAAAAAAGAACAGAACACTCCATTTCAAACTCTAATTTTAAACATTAGAATCTAAAACAGATTGCACAACTCTACTTTATTACATATCATAACATCTAAATAAGGAAGACATTACCTTACCTTTTCTTCTGATGCTACTGTTAATTTGTCACTGGATATTAAGCTGCACACCTGTTCTACACCAAGACTGAGAAATTCCTCACCTAGTACAACCTCAGTAAAGTTCTGTTCTATTTCAAGAAAAAAATGTAAACATACAGATTGCAGCAACAGAAGCAGCATGAAGGAAACATTTTATCCTTGTAGAGATTCAGGAAACACAAAATAGTTTTCTTTCTAGTTATAATAACTAGAATATACCCCTCATGTCTATGAAAAGAATAATGTCATTTAAAATGTGGAAATCTTATTTATAAAGCCAATTGGACTTTGTATATAACTACCAACATATTTTTAAAATAAGGCCACTACATTTGAAAAATAAGACTGACAAGTAGATCTTCCTTTTGAAAGATGTAATACATAATAGGATTCAAAGATTGAAATCATGGCAGGATAAATCCTATTTTATATACAGGGTGTCCCAAAGTCTTATTACAGAACTATATTAAGACTTAGAACACCCTATCATTTTTGTTTCAGTACATTTGAGCATGTTACAAAGTGTGCATGATGTTATATACACCAAGAGCATATACAAACAAATATAAGCAAACATGATAGATGAATTCTACTATTACTAATAGTAAGTGAAATTAACAATTTAACCAGAGGTGGGNGGGGGGGGGCTTCCACTCTGCAGTCGGCCAGGAATTTGGGGGCGTCGCAGGCACCCCGGATTCTCCTGCCCATCGCCTCTTCCAAGAGGCACCTGTTGAATCCAGTGCAGTTCGAAGTGGCCCTTTGGGGTGTCCCCGAGATCACCAAGAAGCCCAAACTTACGCCAAGCTCCGGATGCCGGGGCATCTCCTCAAGTGCTCCGTCAGACACCGGGCTCCGGCGGCAGAAATCTGGTTGCAGTGCAGGCTGGGGGGGGGGGGAGGGCAAAGGAGGCAGAGGCAGAATTACAGGGACCCCCTTTGCCAGAAACCCCCCTTGAGGCAGAGAGCCAAGGGCTCAGCGGGGGTGGGGGTCTTTCGGCACCCTTCCGGCTCTACACGGCCTCCTGGTATTTGGGGGTCTGGGTGGGGCACGTGGGGGGCAGAGTCCCTCCTCTTTTCCACCCCATTGAACGTCCAAGCAGCTGGGGTGACAGTGCAGTGGCTAAGGGGTGCCTGCATCAAGATTGGGGGGGGTAGCAGTCCTGTGCGAAAGTCTGACTCTCGGGAATAAAACCTCCCCCCCCCTCCCAGCTCTCAGCCACAGACCACAGCGCACTTACTCCAGCACCCGCAACGCACACATCTGGGGCAGCACCTCTGCCACGCGCTCCGCTCCCGCGTCCCCAATGTTGTTTTCGTACAAGCTGTGGGAGGCCAAGAGAGCATCTGAGCCAGACTCTTCTCATTCCCCCCCCCCGGAACTCTGTCGAGGGCCACGTAGGAGGCGGGGCAAGGAAGGAGACCCAGCCCCAGAGAGGGGGAAAGACCCTTTCCTAATCCCCCTTTGGTAGGCGGAGAGCAAGAGCCAGCTTTCTGATCTGCTCCTGGGGGGCATCCAGGGGGATCCAGGCTGCTGGTGTCTGGCACTGGCTGACTCACCTGAGGGTCTTCAGCGAACGCAGGGCGGGGAGGGCTCCGGCCAATAGCTCAGCGCCCTGGTCGGTGATCTTGTTCCGGGACAAGCTAGGGACAAAAGATGGTTAAATTCAGGATGTTTTAGGTGGAGGGGGGGTCCTCTCCCTCCGTGACCCGTCAAAAGCGCGGAGGACAAAATCGCGCTAGACGAAAGCGCGCATGTGACGTCACAGCGCGATGAAAAAAATTAAAAATTGAAATAAAATTAAAATTAAAGCAAGCCGATTCACATAAAGGTAAGGGTTAGGGTTAGGTTAAGGGTTAGTGTTAGGTTTAGCGTTACGTTAACGGTTAGGTTTAGGGTTAGGTTTAGGGTTAGGTTTGGGGGGGTTAGGGTAAGGTTTTCGCTTTATTTTTACATTTTTCGATCACAGCGCGATGTTTTCGTCGCGCTGTGATGACGTCAAATGCGCGCTTTCGTCGAGCGCGATTTTGTCCTCCGCGGTTTTGTGGTGGAACCCTCTCCCTCCCTCTCTGGAATGTCCCATTACGGGAGGCTGGTGGGAGAGAGACCCCCACTCAGGGCAGCCGCTTCCTGAATGAATGTGATTATTATTTCCTGTTTTTAAAAAAATTCTGTTTATTAACCTGTCCCAAGAATTTTGGCTGTTAGGCGCTTTGTAACTCTGACGTGTTCCTGCCTGCGTACACAGAGAGCCTCCAAGTGACTCTCTGGGGGAGGCAATGGGGGTGGGGTGGGGGGGGCTCCCTTCTGTGACAGTTCTGGCTTCCTGCAACAGGGAGCTGCGGAACAATCGACTTACTTCAAGGTCTCCAGAGACGCCAAGCGAGGAAGGACGCGGGCGAGGGAGCCCACCCCTTTGTCTCCGATTTCGTTCTCATCAGGGGAATCCAAGCTGGGGAGAAACCAAGCCAGAACGGCTGCAGATCCTGCTTCATCCGGGGGAGTTTTGGGGAGGGGGGGGGACTCAGGCCAGGGGACCAAGGGGGCAAAGGTTGGGGGGCTTCCGTGGGACTTGGCTTTCCTTCCCAGGCTCGGAAGGGGCTGCCTACGGAGAAGCCCCTGGGGGCAGCTAGGTGTAAGGGTGTGGGGAGGGGGCCGGCAGGATTGGGAATAGCCCAGAAGCCCCTCTCAGCTCCTTCGTGGAGGGTCTTGCTTGCCAGGCCAATGTATCCTGGAGACCCAGAAGGGCAACCTTGATGGGGAGGGAAGGACCACCCTGGGAGTCCCCTCCCTCTTCCTGCGCTCCTGATGAGCTCAGAACTCAACTCGGTGCATCTGGCATCTGACAGAGAGACCCCCCCCCATGCCTCCCGCCCCCAATTAAAAGACCCTCCCAAGATGGAAGCTGGCTCAGGGAGGGGCCCTTTGGCTCACTTACTCCAAGTGCTGAAGAGCCGAGAAGGCGACCAAAGAATCCGCCAACTTTCGGAATCCCTCCAAGCCAGAGCTGGGCCCGAGGCTGCAAGGCAAGTGGAGGGTAGGTGGGTGCTGGGCTCCTGACCCACGGCCCTTCCTGCCCCCCTGCCAAGCCTGCCCTCCCCTTCTTCCTGTTGGCCTAGAAGTCCTCAACCTCCCTACGGCAGCTGACTGGCAGCCCAGGTGGGAAACCACGGAGGTTCTGAGGTAGACTGCCTCAGCACGAGGAGGTTCTGCTTCCAACTAGCTCCTGCTGCTCCCTTCTGCCCTGAAGGGCCACAGAGATGGACTCACCTGAATTCCAGTCGCAGGAGCCCAGCGATGGCTGGAATAAGGCGGGCGCTGGAACCCTCAGCGTCTTCCCTGCTGAACCCAAATGGGGTTGGGGGCAAAGAGGGTCAAGGCGTGAAGGGCCCAGAGGGCCTCTCCAGCTGCAGCTGCTTCCCTAAGCCAGCACCCTCCATCTTCACACCCCACCTTCAGCCACACCTGGGCAGGGGGGGGAGGCCACCTCTGGTCAAAGTCGCCCAAAGTTTCTCCTGCCGGTCAGACGGGGCCCCTCCCCTCCCCCCCCATTCCCTGACCCCAAAGCCAGGCCTGGAGACAGCCGGGCTTTGGGGCTGCCTGCGTGGCACCCCTGTGGTGAGCCCCCTCACCCTTCCGCCATGTCTCTCTGCAGCTGCACCAGGCCGAGAAGGGCATCCACGTCCCCCGTCGTCTTGGCCCTGAAGGGCCCCACCAGGAACTTCTCCATGGCCGCCTGCAGTGCTTCCCTCTCCCGGACGTCCCACAGGTGCTTCCAGAGGGCCACGGCTTCCCCCAGGGAGACCCTGCAAGAGGAGACCCTGAAGTGGGAAGTGCCCCTCCCTCTCCCGCCGGGAGCGCCCGTCTCTCTCTCTCTCTCTCCTGCGGCAGCCAAGGGAGGTGGCATCGCCCAGGGCGGCTCTGGCCCTGATGGGCACACGGCCACGCTAGATGAAGCCAGGGCTGGTCTGGGCCCGAGGCTCCTTCCTAGGCACCGACAGCCTCCCTCACCTTCCCAGGCGGAGGATTGGTCCCCTCCCACCCGTGACAGGCCTCCAAGTGAAGATCCTCCCAGTGGTTGCAAAGACAATGTTTAGGTGCCCACTCAGGTGACTGGGGGTCAACCAAGAGGCCTTCAGGTTAAGGCTAAATCCCACCGGGAGCCTTTTAGAAGCATTCCAGGCGTCCTTCCGGCCAGCTCATCGGCAGCCTCCTCCCCCAAGGCCCTACCTAGCCTCCCACCCAAGAGCCCTTTCACCCAAGAGCCCTTCCCTCCTAACATCTGGCCCTTGGTTCTCGTGACCCTCACCCAGACGCAACCCTCCAAAACCCTCAGCCAACCTGAACTTGGAGATGCTCTTCAGGCCAACCAGCTTCCTGAGCCCCTCCAGGGGAAGGCAGCTGCCCCTCAGGTCTACCGAGAAGGTCTTGGAGGACCTCCTCAGGATGGAGTGCAGGACGCTGACATCTGGCGGGGGCAGCGGGAAGCCCAAGAAAGAGAGGTCCGGCCCCAGCTCCAGGCTCACGTGCTTCAAGAGGTAGGGGTCTTCGGTCTCATGGACACAGTGGAGCAGCTCCAGCAATTTCCCTGGACTGAAATCCCGAATGGGAAGTTTCCGGATGAACCTGGAGAGGCTCCTCTGCTTCCTGGCGACTGTCTTCTCCGCATCCAAGTCGCCTTCCTTGCCGAAGAGGAGGCGGCCGCTGAGCTCGTCCTTGGAGAAGAGCAGCCCAGACAGGAAACGGGGCACCAGGCCCCCCGAGGAGAGGAATTTCCTGACCCTGGCCCCCCAGCCCAGGTATTGGGTGAGCTTCTTGCCCTTCATCTCTTGGGAGAGAGCCAGGTGCAGGGCCAGCAGGAAATCCTGGACCGCGAAGCTGGAGAAGGCGCAGACGCCCCGCTGCTCCTCCATGAGCCCCGTTTTCAGCGCAAACTCCTTCACGGCTGCGGAAGGGAAGTGCCCGCTCAAGAGGGCCCTTTGGCACCTCTGCCCGAGACACCAGGAGACCTCGGCCAAGGCAGCGATGCCCTGGCACCTCCAGGCCCTGCCGTCTGCTGCCGCGCTTGCCGCCTTCTGGAGGAGGTGGGTGACGAAGAGGCCGGTGAGGGTGGAGGGCAGCTCTCCCGCCGTGGCCTCAAGCGCAGCCTGGCAGATGAACCGGCAGAGGCCGGGGTTGCCACAGTGGCTGAAGAGGTAAGGGGAGGCCCTGATCAGCTTCGCCTGCTGCTCCGCGTGGGCAGAGCCCTCCAGAGAGCGGGCCAGGCAGAGCGAGGCCTGCTCCGCGGAGAGGCCCACCACCTCCAGGACGGTGTCCACCCGTGGGAAGTACTGGGGGAGCCTCTCCTTGGGCCGCCCGGTCAGGAGGAGGGTGCAGCCGTTGAGCAGCTCCCGTTGGAAGAGGGGGCCCAAGGTGGCGCCAAGGCCGGGGGCTTCCCTGCAGGGGGGGCTCCCGGAAGCGGAGGGGGAGCCCTCGGGGTCCTTCAGGTCTCCCACGCCGTCAAACAGGAGGAGGACCCTTTCCGGCTTCCGCAGGAGGCTGGCGTAGGCGTCATCGAGGCCCTGGCAGGAGCCCCCCAGGGAGTCCGAGAGCAGGGACCTGAAGTCGGGGCAGGTGCCCTGCAGGAGGCTCAGCCTCCGGCAGTCGAACCGGAAGACAAAGTCGAACTGGGGCAGGAGGCCCTCGGCCCAGTCCAGGCAGACCTTCTGGACCAGCAGGCTTTTCCCCGTGCCGGCCTTCCCCAGCACCACGATGACCCTGCTGCCCGGCTCCTTTCTCCTGGCCGTCTGGAACAAGCGGCTTCTCTCCACGGAGGCCTTGCGCTTCTCTCCCAGGTGGCACCGCCTCAGGTCTGCGCTCCTCCCACCCCTGCTGTCCAGGTGGTGCTGCACCAAGTCCCTCTCCAGGTACAGGGGTCCCAGGGGCTGCCCAGGCCCCGAACGGCATTCTCTGCGGAAATGCTCCTTCAGCCCTTTGCAGAAAGCCCGGGGCGAGCCTGGAGGAGGAGGAGGAGCAGAGGGAGAGGGCCGAGGCTCAGCCAGGGGCAGCGGAGGAAGCCCTTCAGGGGCTCCCGGAGTCCCACATCCCGCTCTCAGGACTTCGGCTTCGGTGCTGCTCTGCCGGTCTTGGGGTCCCTTGGAGTCGGCCGGTGGGCAGGACGGACGGGAAGACTCACCTGGGCAGGTTGCTGCATCCGGAGGCCGGCAGGGCTGCGGGGCACTTTCGAAGGTGAAGATCATCTGGACGTTGCCCCTGTGGCGAGGGAGGCACCAGAGCTCCCCGCTTGCAGAGGGCCCTGGGGGGGAGAGAGAGAGAGAGAGAGGCGGAGGGTTGCTCCCGGCCCTCCTTCCTTCCCGCAGGAGAAGCGGGAACTGCGCCGGAGTCAACCAGGAATCCCGGCCCAGCCGGTCCAAGGGGGCTGGGGTCTCTGGACGAGCTTCCACGTACCAAGCGCTTCTGGGGATCTGCCCGCAGGCCCCACGGTGGCCACCAAAATTTGCACGTGGAACTCTGGTGGAGAGTCGGTGCCATCCTGGCCGGGGTTCAGCGGGAGGGCGAGGGGGTCCCTGTTTACAATGCACAGAGCCGGCGGGTGGGCTGCCAAAGAAAAGGGAGGTTAGGCAAGGTGGGCTCCCTCCCCTCCCCTCCCTCCCAGGCAGAGCAGGGAAATGGAAGCCCCTGGAGGCCCCCGTCCTCCGTTCAGTCAGCGCCAAAGACCGGAAGTTTCCCCTTTCATTTCCTTGCAGCCTTCAGAAGCACAGGACTTCCAAGTCAGTGGCTGGGGATGATGGGAGTTGGAGGGCTTGCCACTTTGTATGGAGGGAAGCACTCGGGGGGAGGGGGTGGAAGGCAGGAGTAACAAGGGCATNGGGGCGCCTGGGCCGGAGCCCCGATGTTCTCCGCGGGGCTGTTCCTGGTCAACCTGCTGATCCTCTACTACGCCTTCCTGCTGGAGTACATCGCGCTCAACGTGGGCATCGTCTTCCTGCCCGACGACGTGGACCAGGCGCTGGGGGAGCTCGGGCTCCTCTCCGACCCGGCGCTCGGCCTCTACCGGCTGGAGAGCGAGGGCGGAGAGCCCGTCGACGCCTACTGGGACTAGCGCCGGCCGGGGCTACGGGCGCCCGTCGGGGGAAGCCGGCCCGGCGGCTCCGGGCCCAAGGAGGTAGGGGCTGCTGCCACGGAGGGTCAGCTGGAGGGCAGGCGAAGGGCTGAGCCCAACCCTGAGCCTTGGCCTGCCCTCCGGTGGGCTGTGGTCCAGGGAAGGCCGGAGAAGATGGGGCAGAAGGGCCCCCCACTCTTGCTCTCTTAAGCCAAGTTCCTGGGGAAGGAGCTGGGCTGTTGGCCTTTCTGCCCCACGGGGCCCAAGGCATCTCTGCAGCCCCCTGCCATCGCCTCCTGCAGGGTCAAACCTTTCGCTCCATCCCCATTTCTACAGGCTTGCTGCCCGAGGGAGGAAAAAGGAAGGATTCCAGAAAGGACACGTGGATTCGGAAAGGCTGCCTGGAGCCTTCCAGGGCCCCCCCAGGGAAGCTGGACTGAGGATGGGACTCTGCCATCATCCTGAGATTCTGCAGGGATTCATTGGACCCAAGGGCGGGCTTTACCCAGAGAGCCTGGAGGGATCCTGGTTTCTTGCCCTGAACACAAGGATTTACTCCTCCTTTCCAAACTTCAAGGAGCAGGACTTGGTTCTTTTGTTTTTGGGGAGGTAAAGGCATGTCGGGGGCCAGCCTGGGTACTCTTACACGGCGATTTATGGCTGTGATGGGGTCACCAGGTTTTAAGGGGGCTGGGGGAATAAGCTCCAAGACCCCGAGGTTGCTTGCAACAGCGCATGTTCCCCAACACAGAACTGACCTTGCATCACTGTGCAGAAAATCCCCCAATCATGTTTTCCCTGTAGGACAGTAGAATTATAGCCCTCACATTATCCATATTATCCGTATCTGTGAGAGCTTTTAAAAAAAGACCTTCACTCCTCTTTAATGAAATGTTTTCCAACACGTGGGAAGGTTATGTGACATGAACGAAGCTTTCTCCCTGACGGGCTAGGTTTCCGGCTGCAGGGAGAGAGACAGGTGTGGAAATACGGCGAAGGCATCGATTTGCACAGGAGTCCTTAAGTGTTATTAGCTGCGAAGGCTCCGGTTTCTGCTCTTTCGGAGCGTGGAAACCTTGGCAGTCTCCAACCGGCAATCTTAATTTGCTGTGAGTAATCAGGTTGCCCTTCTTAAATGTTTTATTTTTTTTATTTTTGGGGAATCCCCCCAAACCTTTGCAATACCCAGAAAAGGTCTGCTTTTTAAAGAGTAATAATTTAAGAAGAAGAAAAAAGAACTGCAGGGATGTTTCTGTCACTCCGTTACAGAGAAGAATTGATTTTGTAAGTATTTTTATAACTTGGGGGAAGGAAAGAAAAGCCTTGTCAATGTCACGGCAAGTTATTTTGGAAAACGTTCAAATGCATTGTTATGTAAAACAGAAAATGTAAAAAAAAAAAAAAGCAATATCTTGATAACTGGACCTCTGGTAAATACAGGTGTGTGCAGGTGACTACAACTGGCTTTGCGTATTATTGCTGGAACCAGGGTGGCCGCTGGGGGGTTTCCCGGCAAAGGCTGTGGCTGGACGGCTGCCTTGGGGCCTTTTGTGTGCGTGTGTGTGTGTGTGTGTGGGTTCCAGTGACCCTAGCAGAAGGGCGGAGACAGATCCTCTTCTTCATTATCTCACAAAGTTCCTTCTAGGACCACCCACCCATAACTTTCCTCCCTCTGCTTTGTCTAATCTCAGTGGAATCCTTGGCAAAAGCTGCCATCCTTCCTCCGTTTCCGCCAGTCTGTTCCTCAAGGAAAGGATGAATTGGCAGGAAATCAATTCAAAACTGCTATCTTAGCCTCTCCCCCGGGATTTTTAATCCAAGACTCCAGCAATATTCCCACTTTCAAAAAGAAAAAGAAAACAGACGCTTCTAGAAAAAAGATTTATTGACAGTTCCTCAGGGATATGAAAACTGTACATTAGAGTTAACTCTCAAAAGAGGCTGTGTGCTCCGAGCCCTAGAAAAAAGCTTCTAGGCCCTGATACACTCCAACACACATACACACCCGCAACAGTTGCTGAAGCTTAAAATGACCTTTGGGGGGGTAAAGGATTCCAGTTCTGCCTCACCTTCTTGCGTGTTCCTCACATTATTCCTCCAAACCTTTTAGCAAGCTGCAAGAGGCTGATCATACCTTCATTCATGCATCTCTCAAAGGGAGGAGAGTTTATTCAGAAAGCACCAGCATTGTTTTTTCTTTTCTTCTTAGAAGAACCAGTTGCTTATTCTCCATAGATCTCCCTCCTAAGTCAAATACCTTTTGATGCACCCACCTATGCGCGGAGACGCACCAACATTTCCCTCGCCTTTGACCTTCACAAAATTTGGGACATAAAGTCCAACTGCCCTGGAGAGGATTCCTTCAGAAAGGGGATCCAGGGGTCATGTTGATGGAGAAAAAGAAGCAGCCTTTATGGATCATCCAGATTTAATTTAGCAGCAGAATTTCCTCCTGCGTGAGAGAAAATGGGGGGTGGGGGGGGAGGCCTCTCTTAAAATCATGCGACCCCCCATGGGAGGTTTCCTAGCCTTGGATTCGGTGAGCCATTGGGAGGGGAGGGAAGTGAAGCTTCAGCCTGGCTGAGGGGAGGGGGCACCGATAATGCAATCTTATTAGCAATAGCAATAGCAGTTAGACTTATATACCGCTTCCTAGGGCTTTCAGCCCTCTCTAAGCAGTTTACAGAGTCAGCATATCGCCCCCAACAACAATCCGGATCCTCATTTTACCCACCTCGGAAGGATGGAAGGCTGAGTCAACCNGGGAGGGAAACATGGTTGGAACGTCAGGCACCACAAATCCTTTCCAAAGCGCAACCCCCCCCCCATCCAAGCCTTGTGCCACCCCCTTACATTCAGCTCCTGGAGGGGAGGGGCCCTTCACTGCCATGGAAAGGGGGAGGGGCGATGGCCCAAGCTGGCCTCCTGTCCTGCTGCACCCCCCCCCCAATGTCCTCAGTTGGGCGTCCCAGGGTGCCCTCTGGGCAGCTGGGCTCCTGAGTCGGGTGCAGCTGCTGCCCTGATTGGAGACGGGCATCGTTTCCCACCAGCTGCTCCTCCAAAGGTTGCGGGGCCCTCTGCCCCTCTGGGGTTGCCCTCCTCGCCCCCCCCCACTCGGCCGTCTGGGGTCCCAGCTGTGGTCTAAGGGAGGGGCCGGCCTCTGCTCGGATGTGCCCTCGGGCCGCTGACCCTCCAGGAGGGACCCACCGATTTTGTCGTAGGCCTCCCCCATGTCGGCGCAGAGGGAGAGGACTTCTCCGCTTTCGTCCCTCTCCACGGTGTAGAAGACCTCCGGGTTGTCCTGGTCGTCACTGGCCGCCTCGGACACTTGGACTTGGCGGTGGGGGAAGAGAAGAGGCCATTGGTGACCCTTCTCTGGAGCTCTGCCCCACGGAGCTCCCTGCCCTCCTCCACCTCCCCCAGCAACTGCGGAAGGAAAGGGGGGCCAAGCACCTGCAGGGGCCTCCTCCATCTCATCCATCGACGCCGGGTGGGCCTCGCTCTGCAGGCAGGGGGTCTCCGGTGGGATCCCTCCAGGGCTCACCTCATCTGGGGCGGGAGCGGCTGGGGAGAAAAAGGGGGTGATGCTCTGAAGAAGGCGGGGGAGGGCGCTGCTTTGAGGAGATCCCACCAGCTGCTTTGGGGAGAAATGATTAAATTCCACTTTTCTTTCCTCCCCTTTACGCCTGGGGTCTCTTTCCCAAGAACTGGGGAGAAGATGCTCTGAAGGAAAACGGCATTTGGGGGGGATTTTTGCAGGAAAAGGGACGCAGGGACGTGGCTGATCCAGGCTTTGCTTTTTTGGGGTTTACTGAATAAACCCCAACCAGATATCCGCCTTCCCAGTGAGGCTCTAAGCTATAAAACAGAGCCTGCAAGTTGTCTGGGATCAGTTTATTGAGCCTCTGAGGGACCCCCCAGGTGGGAAACACGTGTGTCCCACCTGCAGAATGCAGCCCCAGGCACTGTTCTACACCCCTCCTTTTGGCCCTGAGTGGCTCAAAGGAAAAACCTCACAGCTGCATCGGTCAGAAAAGGAGAACAGAAAGTGGGCTCAGATCTTCTGCCTTCTATAAATATCTGGGGGGAAAGGGAGAGGGGGGGGGCGACTCCAGCGTGGCTCAAACAAAAGTCAAAGAGGGCAAGAAAACATCCCATCTCCTTGGGAGACCCCCCCTCCCAAAAGAAGGAGAGCTGTGCCATTCATAGCAATCTCAAAGTTTCCTCTGATTCGCGCTTGCAGTTGTAACCCTGGGGTCTCTGACAGGATGGGGTGAAGAGCAGAGGGTGAACCACTCCCCCCCCGGAAAGACACGCAGGAGTAGCGGCTGGGGGGGGGGCAGCCTTGAGCTCCTTTCAAACCCCCAGGTCTAGCCAAGCTTGCCAGAGTCAAAATGTTTTGGTCAGCTGCACCGAGCGAGCCTCCGGCCGGCCCGAAACTCTAGACTGAAAAGTGAACCACGTTTCTCCTGTTGCCTTCCTTGACGAAGAACAAGGGCAGCTCACTGCACACACAGATCAGGGATTCTCCCCGAGACAGAGCTGCGAGCCCCCCCCCCCCGCAATACCCAGCCTTTAACAGGGGAGGGGGCTTCCCCTTCTGCTCTCCCCCCCCTGAGGATTTGAGGGCAGGGCCAGCTTGCCCTCTCCAGGGTCACTGGATCTCTCTCCACCAGCAACGCCACCGGCTAACCTGGATGGCATCGATGAAGCGGGGGAGAGGGGGGGGGGCTTCCCACAGTGCCTTTCTCACACTCTGGTTGGCAAAGGAGCCGCAGGAGAACAGGTTGGGAAGCCAGAAGCAGAGAAATGAGACTCTCAGGGTGCAAGAGGGGGGGGAAAAAAACCAACCTTGCAGGAAACTTTCAAACCATCCTTTCTGCAAAAGGGCTGGCATGGCGAGTTCCGGATGATAAGCCATCCTGGATGCCCCTGGGCAAAGTGGCCAGGCTGCCAGTGCTTTTATCTTGCCGCAGGTGACTGCCCGTAAACGGGAGGAAAATCCCAGCAGGGGAGGGAGGAGGAATTCCCCTCCGTTTCAAAACTCTGGTTTCAAAAACAATCCATGTCGAGAGCTTCGAGGTTGGCAGCTCCCTTCCCTGAGAAGAGATGCCTGCCTGGCTGATTCCCCGGCTTCCTCCTCCGCCCGACCCCCCCCCACCCTCCCTGCAGGGCCCAGGTACCTACCGTCCAGGTGGCCCCACACACACTACTTCAGGCTGATGCGGAGGAGAGCGTGACTCCAATGTGCTCCTCACTTGCTTTCTGTGTGCAACTGACACGCCAGAAGTGAAAGTGGGCTCCGGTTTCATTCTCTCCTCTCTGTGACTCTGACTCTATTGGGCCCACCCACTCACCTCTTTGAACTCTCCAGAGTCTCCCCGTGGCTCCTGGGGCTGCTCCTCCCACCCATGGCCCTTCCACGCAGGACAGTTCGGCCTCCTCGAGGGCGGCCAGTCTGAACGCTGGCACCAAGACGACTGCACGGGCATCAGTGCTCAGGGGAGCCCGGGGATGGCGAGGGCTGAGCTGGCAGCCGGCCCAGATCATCTCACGGGCGGCGGCTGTGGGACCCCCAAAGCCAGGCCCCAGGGGACCAGATCCCCCAGAATGGGACGGGTCAGGCGGAGGATGGAGTTAGCTGGCGCCCTGGACTCCAATTCCCATCGTCCTGTCATCCAGCACATTAGTCTGTCTCAAATTAATTTGTTTTTTTTTAATGGTTTCAAGATTTTAAAACGAGGTTCTAAAATGTCCCCCTGCCCTATTTATGACATTAAATTGAAGCTCGACAATGTTTAAAAGGTCAGATCCAAAAAGGCAGTTGGCAAAATCTATGGAGAAAAAGCCCCTCACCCGTTTAATCCTCAAAAGGGATAAATCCTACCGATCAGGCGGATGGACGGGAGAATTCATTGATCTTTGAGTGAAATTTAAATTCGTGCCAGGTCTAAGTGCCCACCTGTCTGTCTCTCTGTTTGAGATACACAGCCAGGGAAGTTATCCAACTGGCCAGGAAGGAGGGTCTCCTTGGAGGGGGGCTTCATTCCCTTCCCACAGACATCCTGGGAAATCTGAGGATCATAGGACATTAGCCAAGCTTACCGGTCCAGTTTCTAGTCCTCAGTGAGACCGCTCCGTTCTTAGCAGGTCCTCTAGCATTGCCGGAAAGCTGCAAGGGGGGGAGGCGGCTGTGGGGATCCGAAGGCCCGGCCCGTTTCCCAAGCAGGGTCAGAGCGAGCTTCCTTGCCAGGTCATCGGTGTCTTTTTCATCCAGCAAAGTCTGATAATATTCCCGGGAGAGGATCCCTTCGCTCAGCATGGAGTCCAGGAAGGTTTGGAGCTGCGGGGCCGAAGCAGTTAATAAAACCTCCCGCACTTCGGGCAGGATCTGCTTGAAAAGGTCCATTTGGGCAGGGAGGAGAACTTGGGTTTCTCCGAACAATTTCTGCGGCACTTCCCTGTTTTTATAATTATTTATACGGCGGACGCATCTTTCAAAAAAGATGAAGTGAAAAAAGGAAAACTAGCGGAGGCTTTGATTTGGGGAATCATCACTAATGTTTCCTCATTTCGTGGAAGGCCTGACAGCCTCTTCCGAGGATGCCGCCCCCCCCC